TGTTGTAAGTCTTCATAGAATTGGTCAATTCCAGCCTCTTCAGGATTGGTGGTTGGTGCATAAATCTGGATTACTGTGAGGTTGAAAGGTCTGCCTTAGATTCATATTGAAATCATTCTGTTATTTTGAGATTATATCCCAGTATAGCTTTTCCCACTCTTTTGTTGGCTATGAGGGCTACTCCATTTCTTCTATGGGATTCTTGCCCACAATAGTAGATATGATAATCATCTGAATTGAATTCACCCATTCCCGTCCATTTTAGTTCAGTGACGCCCAGGATATCAATGTTGCCTTAGATTCATATTGAAATCATTCTGTTATTTTGAGATTATATCCCAGTATAGCTTTTCCCACTCTTTTGTTGGCTATGAGGGCTACTCCATTTCTTCTATGGGATTCTTGCCCACAATAGTAGATATGATAATCATCTGAATTGAATTCACCCATTCCCGTCCATTTTAGTTCAGTGACGCCCAGGATATCAATGTTTATTCCTGATATTTCATGTTTGACCACATCCAGCTTACCAAGGTTCATAGATCTTACATTGTAGATTCCTATGCAGTATTTTTCTTTGCAGCATCAGATTTTCCTTTCACTTCCAGGCACATCAGCACCTGAGCGTCCTCTTGACTTTGGCCCAACCACTTCATTAGCTCTGGAACTACTTGTACCTGTCCTCCGCTCTTCCTCAGTAGCATGTTGCACGCCTTCCAACCTTCTTCCAGCATCATATCTCTTAGTCTTTTGTTTCTGTCCATGGAGTTTTCCTGGCAAAGATACAGGAGTGGCTTGCCAGTTCCTGCTCCAATACATTGTGTTTAGTCAGAACTCTCCACTATGAGTTGTCTGTTTTGGGTGTCCCTACATGGCATAGCCCATAGCTTCTCTGAATTACTTAAGCCCCTTCACCACGACAAGACAGGAATCCGTGAAGGGGAGTTTAATCCATAAGTTGCACTAAAATATATGGGTTTGATTTTTTTTTAAGACACTTCCTTACCTAGAAGTATTAACAAAGTTCCTTGGCAGAAGAGAAATTAGCTTAACAAAGAACTTAAAAGTTGTGTATGCAGAGTTGACCCTTTAAATCATTATTCCCTACCCTTTCAGGCAAAATCTTCAGGAGCTGTGCTTTGGAGCTTTATTACTGTGAAAGAGAAGATTTTGATTGCATGTCATAGTAATTATGATAGCCCTTTAAAAGTTGTGCCATTTTTCCTGTCTCTTGTTTAATCATGGACGTCTTGTTTTGGTTCCTTTCATACAGCTACTATTTTTAAAAAAGTGTCAGAGCATTTGCTCAGGAAGGATAAAACTCAGCATGTGGCCTAGCTGCTGGAGCGCATCGAGGCCTCACATTTATTTAAAGAGTATAGTTGCACATTCAAGTGACTGGAATTTTCATGCAGTCTTTTGCACCAAATGAGTTGATGAACAGCATACCATTGTGTCACTTGCCTCCTTTTGTAGGAAGGTGACTTCCCTCCCTCTCATAAGGTCATATCTGACTTGAAAGAAATTAGCACAGGTCAGAATGCCCCCAGGTCTCAGACTTCACTGTGGGAGAATGGGTTCTGACCATGCATTTTAATAATGTAGCTTTCATTGCAGCCCTTGGATATTCCTGATGGCCGAAGAGCACCCTTACCTGCTCACTACCGTAGCAGCAGCACACGCAGTATTGATACACAAACACCTTCTGTCCAAGAGCGCAGCAGCAGTTGCAGCAGCCATTCCCCATGCATCTCTCCCTTTTGTCCTCCTGAATCTCAGGATGGGAGTCCATGCTCCGCAGAAGACATGCTTTATGACCGTGACAAAGGTGAGATTCTATTTGCGTTGCTCATCGTGGCTTGCTTCTACTCTGCTACTCCTTCATTCTGCTAAAATCAGTTTTATTTTATTTTTGTCCTGTGGATGTGAACAAAGACTGGTCATATTTGTTTTTGATTGTTTACATGTTTTCCCTCTTGTTTGTGCAGTTTCACAAACATCTTCCATAAATGTCAGAAAAACACAGCAAATTGCCTGTAACTCTTTTTATGAAGGCTATAGTATGAGATGTTAAGGCAAAGTGTTAAGGAAGTGTTCCATTTAAGAAGGTTGTGTTTGAATTGTCTGTCAGATAAGTGAATCCAGGTTGTGACTGCGTTGTTCTTAGTAAGGAATCTTAACCTCTGGCTGTAGAGGTTAAGATGGAAGGACAAAATGCTTTCAGTTCAGTGCACAAAATATCTCATGGGAGCGACCTGTGTTGATGAGCAAATCATTGACATGTTTTACTGTCTGTGTTTTAACAATATGGTCTTATGTACGGTATGTCTGCCGAGAGGTAAGCCGCACTGAGTTCAGTAAGACTTATTCCCAGGTAATTGAGTATGATATTGCAGTCTTAAAGTCTGACTGGTGCTTATAGTGTGGTAATGAAGTTTTCAACTGTTGGCAGATCCAGTGCTATTATGTATTTTGGACTTCTACATAAAATAGGGCATTGATTATGAGTACAGAATTCAGCATACTTAGAGTTCTGGCTTATTTCCTCATGGTAAACCCAATGTTCTAGGCCTTAATGACTGCAGAAATAAACATACAAATATGTGGCAGTGTCTTGTGCTGTGATCATGAGAGTGATCTTTTTCAGTTCTTTGTAAAACATCTTACTTCACCCTGTTGATAAGCAGAAACAGTGTACTGTACACAGCCAGCAAATACATGTGTATGTGGTGGGTCTTTTAAATTATTATATTTTGCTTGTCCTCTGTAGAGACCAAGATGTCATATTTCTAGGTAACACTTCACATCCAGTTACAGACCAGACTCGGACACTTTTAGTCTCAGAACATCCCTGGGGAACATACATGTAATTAATTCTAATTTAAGGAATTTATGAAGATTGTAGGGTTGTTAACCATCTGCAGATATATTTTAAAAGCAAATCAAAGGCATACTTATTTAACGTGAAGCCATTTAAACTAATAATATAATACAGTAATTTAAAGTCTGGTATGCATATTATAAAAGAGACCAAAACATTAAAATGAATGGATGGAAGGGAAATTTGCTTTTAAGTATTGCGTTCATTCTTTTTTTACAAAATAATTTTGTGTTCTTATTTTTCCATCTTTCATGCCAGTTTTCTAGTCTTATATCATTCTTTTAATATAAATGCTTTTGTGCCTTTATTTCATTGTCACAAGTCCTTTACCAAGCAGGTGTTGCATTATGTTCTTTTCATTTTTCTTTCTCTTCCCCTTCTCCTGTCTCCAGCTGCACCTGACATCTTCCCATCCATTTTCTTTCTTTTTGTGTGCAGTTGCCACACATGGATGCTTCCCAACCTTTGCTTGCGGTTTCGCTGTCTCTTTTGTCTTGGCTCTATCTTCCTTTTTCCATTGGAAGCACTGAAGCTCTTTTTCTTGGTGCCATAAAGTGTTCTTGAGGTGCAAAAGAGCCCAGGGAGCATTACAGCCTAGTTGCCTTACGGGTATGTGCTTTATGGTAAACTATAGGTGAGCAGTATGATCATGCATTATGATACTGGGTTAAATATATGCCATATAATTTTGAATGGAGAAAAAAAAGACATGGCAGCCGTCATACCTCTTGATAATAGTACAATCAGTTTCATATTACTGCTGCTAGTAACAGTAGGACTTAACATAAGTTTCATCTTTTAATTTAGCATTTCATAGTTAAAACTGAAGTATTTAACCAGCTCAGGTAGTTTAGAGCTATTTAGATAACTTGTTCAGAGAAATAGTTTGCTGCTAGAGTTCCTTTGTCTCATACTGGCACACCTTGATTAACTTCTGAGGGTATAATACTATTAACACATCTATTATTTTTCCTGCAGCTGTTAAGCAATTTTGGGATAATATTAATATACAGTCCAAAGAGTGACTTTAAATTTTCTTTTCTTTTAAGAACCTCAGCACATAAGATAATATATGTCTAAATAAGTTTAGCTGTTGTCCTTCATAGTCTAGATACCATCCTGCCTGTGGATTCTGCCCCCACATATGTTGTTTTGAGATAATTTCAGATTTCTACTCTGGGAATTGCCACTCACATTTCGTTTGCTGGCTGCCAGTCAGGGGAAATGTTTTTGCCTTGTGCACATACATGCCTTGAAGGAGCCACAGAGCTGTCCATCAGATTAGACACAGTAGCCAGATTCTCATTGCGCAATGTAAGAATGTTGTAAATTTTGGCCCATTGTTCAATGGTAAATAAAGAACCCCTACTGTGATTCTCATTTGGTACATATGCCCAGGTGCTTGAGTACTTTCCTTCCAGTTTTGTTGTTACATGTTACTAAATTTGGACCAGAACTACACAAAATTATTACTTTTTTTTCAGTCGTATCTTTTCAGGAAGGAACATTTGTTGGTGCCAGCCAGCACAGCACAACACAACAAACTGCCTTAAAGGAGAGAAATGTTAAGTGCTGTGTTCTTAAAACTAATGGTTCAGAATCTTGGCAATTGCTTTATGGCTTAATTTTGAACAGTTGACTTTCTCAGGTTGTAGTAACTGACTCCAGTTTAATAATACGTTTGGAGGGATGTCTAATCTATTGTGTCAGGAATTAACACTATCAAATATTTTATTGTTGAATACCATTCCCAGTTGTCCAAGTACATACTGCTAATTCAGTTAGAAATATTTATTTATACTGCACATGCTGAATAAGCAACAACATGGAAATATGTTGATATAATATGTAGATTTGTTTGTTTGTTTTTTATACCGCCCATCTGGATAAATCCACTCTGGGCGGTTTACATTCGAACACAGATAGGATTAAAACAAACAATAAAAATAAAACAAAAACAACATGAAAATCCAAGATGGGAAAAATGAGAGTAGGAGCTAAGTGCTAGCTAGCTGCTGGGAAGGCCTGCCGAAAGAACCAGGTCTTTAATTTACTCTTGAAAACTCCCAGTGAGGGGGGAAGGCAAATCCCTGTGGGCAGTGTGTTCCAAAGGCGAGGGGCCAGTGCTGAGAAGGCCCGATTTTTAGTTTTTTCCTTCCGGGCCTCTCTCAGGGTTAGGCCCCTCAGCTGCCCAGCCTGGCTACGATGGGTGATATGGGTAGATCTAGGTGGGAGGAGGCACTCTGCACTGTATTAGTCTATGGTAAGAGTCAATAATAGAATATAGATAATTCTTTATAATTCCCTTTTGAGAATCTCTCCTATAATCAGAAAAGAATTTCATGCTCTTCATTATGAGGGGGAGAGGAAGAGGCTAAACAGACATAGGTAAAGATTGTTCACAATTATAATCCTGCCTTGTCCTACCCAAGAGTTTATTTAGTGCCTGGTGTTTGTGATAGCTTGGGCAACTGCTTTGAATAATTGCTGAGTATATTTTCCCCCACTTTCCTCTTTGAGGCTAGAGGTTTCCAAACCTCTGTTTTTGTTCTCCCCTTCAGAGATTCTTTCTGTATTTGAGCTATCTGTTGTTTCTGCTTTAGGGCTCTTCTATGATTTTGTTGTTGTTGTTTAGTCATTTAGTCTTGTCCGACTCTTCATGACCCCATGGACCAGAGCACGCCAGGCCCCCTGTCCTCCACTGCCTCCCGGAGTTGTCTCAAATTCATGTTGGTTGCTTCGCAGACACTGTCCAGCCATCTCATCCTCGTCGTCCCCTTCTCCTCTTGCCGTCACACTTTCCTAACATCAGGGTCTTTTCCAAGGAATCTTCTCTTCTCATGAGATGGCCAAAGTACTGGAGCCTCAGCTTCAGGATCTGTCCTTCCAGTGAGCACTATGATAGCTCACTCTAAAATTTATAGTTGCTTGGCATTATACACCAGTGTATCAGAAAAAGACATTTTAAATACGAAGCTCTTGTGCTAATAAGGCATTTAAAACAATAGCCAAATATTCTATGTTCTGTTATGCACTGTTGTAATCTGTTGTTTTTCCTTCAGCTAAATTTCCAATATACTTTTCAATAGTAAATCAGTTTTAAGCAGGGTCTGACTGTGTCTGTGAATAAAAAATGGAAGTTAATAATTGATCAAGCGTGGGGAGACTAACCTCCTAACCAGACACAGGCCTGCTTTACATTTCTAAAGCATCTTTTCATTTTGGTCTATGGCTGTGCTTTGACCACAGACTCCACTGCCACTCTTTGGATCAAATCAGCTGTTTACTTTACATTTCTATAAAGAGCTGCTTAAATAGATTGAAATTTTCAAAAGAAAATGAACATAAAGTCTGCAGAGGGAACCCATGGTCTGCTTTGGAATGGGAGAGTGATCTTACACAGCAGGGGGTGGGGAAAATGTTAATGGCACCTGTTGTGTGCGTGGGCAAGGGGAGGTGAGAAAGGGCCCAGCCTCCAGTGTGATTAGAAGCAGTTTTATTGCATTAAAAGTGCCAGCTCTGCAGGGTGCCAGTGATTAGAATTCAGTTTGGTGACCCCCTATACTATTTGGAGCCTGCGAGTTCACATTGCAGACCTTGTTCTATAAAGAGCAATACTGGTTTCGGCCTTTTTCGATTGTAAAATAGAACTTTGTTTCTGATAAGTAATTTTTCTCCATCTTTTGATAACTAATAGAATCCTTAAGGTTGCTAACTGACCATCTGTTTAGTATAACTACCCTACAGTTAATGAAGACTCCGCTTACTACACTGCATTTGTTCCACTGTTACATTTTTAGAACTGGTGTTGTATATAAAAAAAGATAGCTGGAAGTCCTTAAGAAAGATGCAGGGGACTGAAGGGATTGAATATAAAAGAGGAAAAAAGGATGTAAGAACTGTGGTCATTCAATATTTAAGGATATAGAAATGTTCCCATAGGTAGTGATAATAGTAATCCATTGTAAGTGGTTGGTGGCTCTCTTTGAAATGACTTAATAGGCACTGTGTAAATACAGGAGTTGTTAGTAAATTGTGGTGTATAGTCAAAGTTTTCGGTTTCATTTTTATGATTGAGTGTTCTCAGAAAAGAATTTGATTTTGAAATGACAGAGGAGGACATGTATCCAGTCTGATTGGCTATGAAGCAATGAAATACTCGTATTCACTTGCCAGTTCCTCACATAGTAAATATTCCTTTGTGGATTTGCAAGTACCACCTACTAGAGGCAGCAAAGTTGTGTATATGTGATTGCTTATCCTAGGATGAAAAAGAGATAGATTAAAGAGGTCTCATTTTACTAGAGCTATCTACTATTATGCAGATATTTAAAGCTCTGATTTATCGTCCCTGGAAAATGTAAACACATCTGAACTTATGGAAAATTCAGATGTTAAGATTCTTGATGAAACAAAGGGGCCCTCAGAGATGCTAATTTTTTGTTTAGTTCCTCCCTCTGCCACATTTAGTCTTTTATGCCATTACTTGAACAAAAACTATATGCAGGACAGTTAAGGATCTAGAAATGAAACCCATCAAGCCACCTTCTCATGCAGGAACGGAATGCATTTTTGGGGATATGCTTAGTAGAGTGTACATCTTTGTAAATGCACTGGCTTTTTGTTGGGATATGGGCATTCAAAGAGTAAGGTTACCAAAAATACTTGTACAAATATGGCAGCCATAAAGCAAGGACTGAAGTAAGCATTTTTCCTGCGTTTCAGAAAATATTTATTTAGCAAACTGAAGGATATGTCAGTATCTGTGTTATTTGTATACTTTTTTTTGTTCTTCTCAGTTTTTCCCTATGAATGACACTCCTGTGGGCAGTATGTATGATTTCAAAGAAGCTACATATGAACATTTTTAATTACTGTGTTTGTACATTGATAAGACATAACTGTATATTGTGATGAACCATTATTTTGCAGATGTTATGCATATTGCCCTGATAATTTACATTTTTGAAATGTTTAATAAAGACTTGTTTCCAGGACTATAGCTCTGCTTTGTTCAGTCTGTAGTAAAAATATCTTCCTGTTAAGTGCTAATGTACAGTATGGTAGATTAGAGCTTCACTAAAGTTTTCATTCAGAAGAAATGTCTGCTATATAGGAGTATTAGAAGTAGCCTGCAAAGCAGGCTACTTCTGTGATTTGAAACAAACGGGTGCTAGCAGTGACGTTGTACGAAAGCCATCATGTTTCTGGAAATCAAATTTAATTAAAAAGCACTCTCAATCCCTAGTAATGCAACTGCTTTAAATTTTCAGACAGTGGGAGTAGCTCACCGTTGCCCAAGTATGCCTCTTCTCCTAAACCCAACAACAGCTACATGTTCAAACGAGAGCCCCCAGAGGGATGTGAGCGAGTGAAGGTCTTTGAGGAAATGTCGTAAGTAATGCCTTTTATATCAGCTGGGATCTGCAAATGCAGGAAACCTTTTTACTCGGACCCTTTTCAACTGCAGATGAATAAACTACTCCAGCTGATGAGGTTTTTTTTCCTTCAAAAAGCAAACCACTCTTGCCAATTTTGCACAGGCAAGAAGTTGAAGTGTTCCTGTCAGCTTGAGGGGGAATTGAATATTTTTGTTCTTGACCATGTGACTCATATTTATAAAAGCACAACAAAGGGGAAAAATGCAAGCAGAGCTATGGTTTTGTTAGTACTGTATTCTGACAATTATTCTGCAATCTGTATAAAGCTATCTTTACAAGGAAACCATTCCAGCTTTAATTTTTTTAGCTTTAAAGTCTGTAAATACTAGATGTGACCAGAGTTCTTTTGGTTGGAAGTTTATGAAAATCTTATTGAGCTGTATTTCCTGTATATGTGTATGTCTAAGAGGGAGAGAAAGAGAAGCTTCCCTAGACTCCACTGTCAAGCAAAGAACTAGGCGTGGAACTATTCATTAGATTAAGGGACCAAAGTCATGTTGCAGAATCAACTGGCTGAAGCCAGGAGATGTTTTGGCCACAGCAGAAAATGCTTCTGGATAATTAGGAGAAGGTTTGAAGGCAGATGAAGAAGCCTTTCTGGGTTAACGGAGGGAAGGAAAGAGAGAGACTTGCCTAAAAAGATTCTACCATCTCATCCATGTTTGGTGCTATGGGTTTTCAGCTGATAAATTCTTCATGGATGGACTTGGTTAGTATATGTGAATGCCTTTACCAGGGGTATTTCTGATAGCTGCAAAATTGCTCTGAGGTTGCTTTTTTGCATGTGTGTTATTTATTGCTGTGTCTTGATCAGCTGACTACCAATATGGAAGATGTTTGCCCATTTGTCAAATAATCCCATTCTGTGTCACTCACATGTTTAGCAACATACAGCCCTGCAAACCTACATTAAGTTGCCTTGAATTAATTGGTGTGTAACTAACTTCTTTTCCACTTACTTTATTTGTAGGACTCGTCAGCCTGTCTCAGCCCCTCTCTTTTCATGTCCTGACAAAAACAAGGTTAATTTCATCCCGACCGGATCCGCTTTCTGTCCAGTAAAACTTCTGGGTCCTTTACTACCTGCTTCTGACCTGACACTCAAAAGCTCTCCAAACTCTGGTCAAAGTACAGCTTTGAGTACTCTTACTGTTGAGCAGCTTTCCTCTCGGGTCTCTTACTCCTCTCTGTCAGATGACACCAGCACAATGGAATCTGCAGAAGTCTTAGTACAACAGCCGTCCCAGCAGCCTCCAACACTTTTGCAAGAACTACAATCTGATGAACACTCCACTCCTCAGAATTATGTAATAATCTAGAGTAAAGCAGTGTTGGTGTAAAACTCAACTGCATGAGTGGCATCGTCTCCAGAACAAAACAAAGCTACTTATCAGCATCTTTCTCTATTTCAGTGCTATTCTTGGCAGGAACAGAAATGCTCTTATTCAGCATTTTTGTGTGTGTGTGTGTCAGGGGAGAGGACAATGCTTGCAGAATCTGTGTACTATTAAGCATTTTAAGTGGAGACTATGCATTTCATAGAATGTCTGACCAGATTAGTACTGTGTCCTGTTTCAAATTTTACAGTATAAATAAGCTCTATATCAAACAAAAGTTGCCTGTCTAAATCGAAAATGTCTTGCTGTGTTGTGTTCTATGGAAAATACTACTTCAGGATTATGTTTACAATTTATCCAGGTATTTATGTTTTGAACGTCTGTAATACATACAATGCAAAAAAGAAAAAGAAAAAAAAAGAAAAGAAAAGAAGAAAAAATGGCCACAACAGTTGCACAGTGCCCACCCTATGGCCTAGCTTCAGGTACTTCTCTCGAAGTCTAAACTCAGGTAACTTGGAATGTATATCATATTGGGATAAAAAAAATTACAGCTAAAAAGCTAAAGAGGGAACATCACTCTTCTGCCTTTCATTATTTTATGCATTAATATTTCCTCATTACATTCCACTTTCTTGGAAAAAGTGCATTCAGATCCAGGGGAATAACTACCCTGGAGATGGGTGAACGTGAGGAGAACCAGCAAATCATTAATGTGTGACATTACATCATATGGTTATAAGTAAAACAACTGTTGCATTTACCGTTCTTTTAGCTTGCAGATTGTGGCATTTAAAAGTTTCAGGTGTTGCACAGTTATTGACTGTTAAGCTATTGTGAATGAAATGTGTTCAGTCCTAGGTTGTACATAAGAAACATTCCATGGTGTTGGTGTGAGCGGTGATGCAAGGGAAGAATGTTTTCATTTTAGCAAAAAAGAAAGATCAGGTTTTGAGGTGGGGGTGGGAATGTCCTCTCATGTTTGTGCCGGCAAGTTGAGGAAATGAAATGCTGTCATTACCGTTTTAAGAATCTAATGTTTAGTTTCTCTTTTGGAGAAAATGCTCTTTTGTGTGCTGGTTGGAAAAAGAAGCTTCTCGGTTTCATTTTGTTTTTCTCAAGCACTGATCAGTAAACTATCTAATGTGTGTACATTGGGTGTTTTATACCTGGACTTAAAAAAATAACCTCTTACACAGCATATAAGGTTTTGTAGAAAAAAATGGAGGGAGCAATAGTTTTTAATATAAGTTATCTACTCAAAGCCTTTTGTAGTAATCTGTGGTTTAGACCATTGACAGGTAGGTTTTTGCTATTTGAAAGTAAGTAGACAATGCTGGATCTCATGAGTTTTCTTCATAAATGCTGCATAGCCTAGAAGCATCCAGCAGCAATTTCTTACTGCCCTGGAACTGTGACAGCATTGCTTTTGGAGATAATAACCTGCAATACAAAGAGGACCCCAAAGGCAAGAGACACTCAATATTCTTGGGCCTTTGCTTTCAGTTCTGTGAGAGTAGCTTTATGCAAGTCTGTTTCTAAGAAAGCTTGCTTCCTCTGTTCAGAAACTGAAAAGATTAAGGCTGCAGCTGCTGCAGCATTTATACTCACTTCAGTCCTTTCTTTTAGGGAAGAATTTGGAGGGGGAAAAGGGGGGGGATTATAAAAAAGAGGCCTCAGTGAAGAGTAGCTAAGAAAAGGAATATGGAAATTATGCAGCATGTGTATGTGGTTGCAAGATGAAGCCCAATTTCCTTCTTATCACCAAAGAGTTTGGTAATAACTTGTTAGGAAGTACAGAACTCTACAGCCTCTGTGCAGTTGTTGTACAACTCTAGGAGCACGCTGAGAGTGAAAGCTAAAGATCTGTTTTATTTCCATGGAATTTTTATTATTATTATTATTTTTAAAATAGCATAATAGCATCTCAACCTTGCTAATCTCAGGCCTTGGCAAAAATGCTATATAGTTTGTATGTTAAAGTATACGGGAGAAGCATTCAATTTTTGTGATCTAAGTGTGTGTTCTTAAAGCTTTTACATTGAAGTTGAATATAACAGTACATTTCCTTTCTTATCTCTGGTTGTTTCCAAATGTAACTACATAGTCAAGGTTCTCTGTGTTAGGATTTATGGAAAGCTCTATCAGGTGACTTTTAGATCACAAACTCTGGTGTACAATATTTATAGCGTTATTACATTCTGTTTTCCCACGAGAAACTAAATATTAATTGTCACATGCATTTGTTCTTAGCATATTTGGAGGGTTTTGAATCAAATGTGTTAAAGCTAAAGCTTTGCTATGTGAATTTCTCAGCAGTTGTTGATCTCTAATATACCCTATATACAGCTGTAGAAATTTGTCAAATTTTGTTTCAGGAGTTTTGTACATAGTTGTATTGTTATTTCTAGCCACTGTGCTGAACAGTATTCAGATTACCACACAATATTGCTTTACACAAGGAAATGTGTGGCTTTTTGTTTTGTATTTTTTCAGTATAGAAGTTCCTGTGTCTTATTTAAATAAAGTTATTAGAAAACACACACACACACACACACACACACACACACACACAAACACACACACACACACACACACCGTACAGCCTGTGAAATATAGCATGTCTGTTTTATTTAAAAGCTGTGTTGGGAAGTGATTCAGACATACGGAAATGATGTGGAACATAGTACTTTGACCTTTTCCATTGGAAAGGGTGATGGAATTGTATTTGAGTGCTGGCCCATGTTGAAAATTGCCTTTTATATACAGAAAACTTAAATTCATCAAGAAAAAGGAGCAGTTGAGAAGTGGAAGACTCTGCTTGCAAGTAACTATTAAAAGGGATAATGAGGCTAAAATCCTGCTTCTCTCTTCCTTAGAATGTGTCTGTACTTCATATTGGACTTCCCAACCAGTAACCAACTGTTGTACTTTGAATTGTGTCTTTCTGTAATTAAATCATTCATGCATCTGTTTATGGCATTCTTAATCATTGATGGGGTTAGGAGTCAAAATAGCAGAGCAAGGAGTAAAATTAATGCTGATCTTGGCAAAATATTTTTTTAAAGACTGCTTCTTCTTTGGACACATTTGTTTTTAATAAACTAGTCATGCAAGTTATTAATTTCATGTCTTATAACTGTAACATACACAGTAGAGTAGAACATGTATTTATTGCCCTTATTTGCCTCCTCTCTGTAGAGTCAGGATTAGAGTGGTATATTGAATGGTATTGCCACAGCCAGTGTGTTATTTCTAACCCACCAAAAGTTTCAAAACATCATTTCTTGAAACTGCAGAACATACCCTGTTTTGATATTTTTTTCCTCTTAACATCAGTATGTACTTTACTGTTTATATACAGTGGTGCCTTGCTTAACGATTACCTCGTTAAAAGACAAATCCGCTTGACAATGAGGTTTTTGCAATCGCAAAACAATGTTTTAATGGGAAAAATTTGCTTAATGATGATCGGTTCCCTGCTTCGGGAACCGATTTTTCGCTTAACGATGGTTTTAAAACAGCTGATCGGCGGCTCTCAAAATGGTCACCCGCTGTGCAAAATGGCTCCCCACTGTTTTTAGGAAGGATTTTTCGCTCTACAGGCACCCGAAAATCGCCGCCCTATGGAGGATCTTCGCTGGACGATTAGGTATTCAGCCCATTGGAACGCATTGAACCAGTTTTCAATGCATTTCAATGGGCTTTTTTATTTCGCTTGACGAGGATTTCGCTCTACAGCAATTTCGCTGGAACGGATTATCCTCGTCAAGAAAGGCACCATTGTAGATGGAAAATGTCATATTCTTCAGCCCCCATTAAAACTGGATTGTTGTCATACATTTCCCAGTATGTTTTTAGTTGGAACAACAATCTTAAAATGTCTCTTTGTGACTTGAATACTATAGATTTAAAGAACAAATTGGTAATCTTATTGCACTTCACCTAATGTAGGGGAATTTTTTAATCTTCACATGTTTTGAAGTACAGTGGTGCCCCGCTTAAAAATGTTAATTCGTTCCAGCGAAATTGCTGTAGAGCAAAAACATCATAAAGCGAAAATAAAAAACCCATTGAAGCGCATTAAAACCAGGTTAATGCGTTCCAATGGGCTAAAAACTTACAGTCCAGCGAAGATCCTCCATACGGCAGCCGTTTTTGGTGCCTGTCTAGCGAGGAATCCATCCTCGAAAACAGCGGGGGCCATTTTCTTCAGCTGGTGGCCATTTTGGAACCCGACGATCAGCTGTTCGCTGATCGTCATAATGCGAAAAATCAGTTCCTGAAGCAGGGAACCGATCATCGCAGAGCGGATTTTGCCCATAGGAAGAATCGTTTTGCTATCGCAAAGAAGGCATCAAACAGATTCGTTGTTATACGGGGCAATTGTAAAGCGAGACACGACTGTATAATTCCCATTGGCCATGCTAATTGGTGCTGGGAGTTTCAGGCATTAGGAAGACCAACCATTCCTGTCCTCTGCTTGCGCTGAAAGCAAAATGGATTTAAGTACTGTTCTCACCAAATACAGTTTGAAGAGGGAAGGGTGGTGTGTATTATCTCCACTCCAAGTACTACGATAAGTGGTACAGAGCAGACAGCAAACCTTTAGTGGGACTCCAGCTTCTTACTAAGTTCTGTCAGCCTGCTGACCTCAGATGAAACACCAACAAGGAGACAAACAACAATGGCTTTTTGGTTAGGTGAGGCTTGTCCTATATTAACAAGAAACCCAGCCCAGCAACACTTAGCCCCAGGGATGGGCCTTTCATGTTCATAGAAAAGGGGGGGGGGAATAGAAGAGACTCTTTCTAATGTCCGTATTCTTTCATGGATTACGGGCAGAGAACCTCTTAAACATAAATGACTTGAATTAATTAGAGAGAGGTACACAGAAGTTTAATGTTCCTTTCACATTCTTTCTTGTGTAACTTTTTTCACCCTTTGTATGTCAAATTTCATGATAATTTTTTCATCCAATAGTATTATAAGGGCTGTTGCAAATACATGGTTGTGCAAGTAACGAGGACTATCAGCATTCAGTAAGAATATCCAAGGGAGGAGTAGGAGGAGGGCCTAAAACCTGGTCAGGAGTGTTCTTTTTTATATCAGTTCTTCCTTCTGGGAGGACTTAGTTTGTGCTGAGCTCATGGTGCCCCTTATGTTGTATTGCGTTTGCTGTCTGCCTGCATTCATCTTGGACCCTTTCCTTTTTTGCCTTTATTTTCTTGATGGGGGGGCTTTCCTGTTTTCTTTGCATAGTTTTGCAGCTGCTAGGCACTCTGTGGATTATTTTATTCAACTCCTTCCCCCTTTTGCTATTTGTTAGACCAGGGACCACGGCAGCATGGCTGCTCTTTGCTGTTGCAACTCTGGAATATTGTCCTAGAAGCAAGAGGCAGTTGTGCTCTCTGATTGCCTGTTGTTATGATGTCAGAATCTCATTTTATTGTTTCCTTGATTTGCACTATATTTTTGGTTATAGCTTTTAATGTTTACATTGCTTGAATGTGTCCATCTCTCCATACATCTCCTTGTCTATTGTGAAATTGCTTTAAGCCCAAGTATAAATAATAAATGGACATTTTCTCCCGACCTCAGTTTCTGGATTTTGAAAGTGGTAGGGAGATTTTCCAACAGAGCAAAGGTGAGAGAGGACAAAACATGACAGAGATGGCTAGATCTTGCTTAAACTCATCTATTCAGTGCATGTCTCACTAAATAGAAGTTCTACATTTTGCTCGGGCAAGAATATTTCAGAACCAGTAGAAACTACAAAGAGACATGGAACCACCTTCCCTCCATAAAGGAGGCCATGTTCCTGTTGTCTGAATAGAAGAAGTGTAGCCAAGGAAAACCAAAAAAGGTCACGTTTGTTCAATAGCTACAATGGCCTGAATCATGGCATTAATACTATGAGATGCATTCGTAACATTTCTAGTTCAGTTCATTAAGAAAGGTGTCATCCTGTACAGGCCTGAGAAGTTGGATGCCCCATCAGTAGTAAACAGTCAAGCCTGTGACCCAAAATAGTGGTTTCACCTATATTTACAGAGTCAGTGTAGAGTCTGGGGAACATTATTCATTAAATCTGGCTATTCTGAAGAAATAGCTTATACACTTCTTGTTCTTCTCATCTTTGTGTAAACAATACATATTGAGCTATGGAAAACCTTAACAGTTTGCTCCATATCCAGTTAAAATGGCTGGCACCCTTGAATTTTTTTCAGAGGGGCTATTGCGAGGGCTCATCTTCAACCATCTTGAAGATCAAGTCTTGCCAGTATTGTACATTACAAGAGGAGAATCAGTTTGCCAATATGAAAAATATCCTCAAAGCTGCTGTTCACCAGTTTCAACTTATTAAGGTAGTGTTTTGAAAGTCTTCTTTGGTCATTCTTTTCACGCACAGTTGCAGAAAATCAGATTTTCAAAACAGTTTTGCTTAGAGTAGCTAATGCAGTGGAAAGAATAGCTGAGTCAGCATCCCTAATAATGGAAGAGAATATGTATTTTTCAGCAGTTGATTCAATCAGTGCTGTTTTTGGGATTAGCAGTGGAGGTAGACTTTGGCATTTGTAGAGTACTTTCAACTGCAGGGTGTGTTTCATATGTGTTACCCAGTTGTAATATTTTCATCAACCACTTATGTACCAGGTGGACAGAGGCTGTGGGGAGTAAAAGAAAGATGAGAGCTGAGAAAAGTCTGGGAAATATATGGGTTCACATCCCAATTTAGCAGACACAATCTGCATCTGCTAGGCTGGCAGCAGCAATTTTTAAAATGTGTAAATTCATAACTCGAGACAGATGCTGGTTTGGATCTCCAGATTGGAATATCCCTGCGTGGCAGCATAGCACCACTGTGGGTCCTCCTGTTCCAGTGGTGCTACAATCTCAGCAGGAGCTCAGCCAGCCGCACCTGCCTCCCCCAGCAGCCAACCACTCCAACAAGGAGGCAGGATGGAGATTCTCCCTGTGTAGCCAATGAGAGGTCAGCTGCTGGGGGAGGTTGGATGGGTTGGCTCAGCTCCTGCCCAGATTAGTGTGCCCCTGGAGAAGGAAGACCCAGTGGCAAACAATGACAGGTCATTGGACCAGCCAGTTTATGGGAGAGCCTAGTGGATGCACAGTAGCTCTGCTACTGCACGGAGATACTCCAGTCTGGAGATCTGAATAGAGTGCCCTTTTAACCCTTTGTCAAGAAACCCTTGCTCTCATTAGCTGACTGCTTGCAGCTGGTTGTATAAATGAATAGTCAGTGTGGTATTTTTTTATTGATGCTTCTGTACACAGTATGTTCATGTTTGGAACATTTTAGAGCTTTTGGCAGGAGCCCTACATCTTCCTGCTAGTACAAATGGCTGAAGAGTTAGGCCCCTATTCAGTTCCTGGCTGGTTGGCTGCTGCCATGGTAGGATCCTGAGAGCATTTTTCTGAGAGATTTTCTTATTTTCCCTTGTCTTCTGTGACTCATCTTCATGTCAGTCTTCTGCTCTCTCTCTCTCTTTTTGCGCCTAATTGGAATGTTTATTTGTCTTGAGTAGCAGCTGAATATCAACCATAGGAAGCAAAACTTTATATGGTTATCTGAGAACAAATGTCTAGGCAGCTCATACTGGCAAGAAAAAAATTGTATGACAGGGTGCTTCCTTTTTCATGTCCAGTGAAGTTCTCTCCCCGGTATAATTATCCTTTTTTAAAGTTTCAGCATCACATCAAGGGAAAATATTAGTAGCAGAAGTGATCCAGGAAATATATTCTCATGCCAGAGGAAATTCTTTTGCTTAAGGGAAAGGGGAGGAACTGACCTCAGCTGTGTTTAATTCTAATTATAGGCATGCAGTCAAAATCTGTCTAGTTTTGAGCGGAAGAGTTTTACATATAGTAGGTTGCTCAGATTAATTTTCATGGTTCTCTCTCTTCCACTTAGATCACAATTCACCCATTCAATTTGGACTCCGATCCACCACTC